ACTTCGACGCTATATGTTTGTTGTTCCCTGTCTCTATCATCCGTTTGCATTTTCCATGCGAAATTAGCCGATATGATTTGCATGGAGTGTGGTACTGCTTCCCAGCCTAGTGGTTAGCAAGGTGTCCCAGAAGCACAGTATAATCGCCCATAAGCCCGCCACCCCTCCTGCGTTGAGAATTCCTCGTGAAGCCTGTTTGGTCTGCGAGTACCTGAATCCATGCGGCTGTTAAGTTGAGTCTCGCTCCGTCAAGTGGAGGCTTTCTCGCCACTCTAAAGGCTGAGTAATCACAGATAGCCCAGGCCAGACCAAGCTGTGCAAGGGCTCAAAGTTTGCAATGAATTTTACCCATCGTAACCGAGGTAGACGTTTCGAAGCCCCATTCGGTATCCGGTTTGAACCTACTAAAACAAGTTAAGAAAGTTATACACTTGACACCAGGCTGGAGTAATAAGGAAAGGATAGGCACGGTAGGGATATAGTTACCAGATGGCAGTCAATACGTGTGTGCAGTAGTGGGTATTGGCTTACTCCTGCTGCACTGATTTGAAGGCGCATTCTGCCCCCTAAACTACTACACCGGATTTAGCTAACTCAAAAACGACTTCACTTCTTGACATATTTCGGAACCGAAATAGTCGTATTCTTTTAATTTAAAGTTCCCTTATTCCAATGTCTCGACTGTTTTTGATTAAAGGGTAATTTTCTGCGAGATAGGTAGCTGAGAGACGATTAAAGAAGCTCTGATGGCTTGATAACTACGTATTAATAGGAACTGTAATATAACCTACGGCATCAGAAAATCAGCTTTTGAATCATGCTTTAGACTCCACGGTATTGTAGCACTTGCAGAGAGAGAACTTGTTACACTCATGCGCGAGGAAAAGTTTAATGCCCCGAAAATTCGAGTAACCCCACTTCCTTGCTGCCTGGCTCCATTTCAGAACAAGTATCTCATACAGTTGACGCCACGATACTCAACGAGGTCAGCCCCAAAAACTGCTTAAGTAATAGTCCAAAAAGCATTATATAACGCTCGCCAGGTCTTTCGAAGCGGCTGTCTTCCTCTGTGACCTGTACTACATTGATTTACTTTTAATTCATTTCAGTGATCTTTCAACCACAGAAATGAGACCTATTTACTTTGTTCCTCTTGGCATACTGGCTCTCCCAGGATGGTGCAGGCCAGTCTCTGATCCCCATTCTAGGACTGCTGATGTGGCCCCTGTCTCTCCAAACTCCCCTCACTCCTAAGGGAGATGTACCGGGATCAACCACTATGGTCCACCATCTTCCGGAGTATGAAAGACATCCTAATATTTTGAGAAAATATGACCTGACTCTTATTAGGAACTTAGATGCAAATACACATATTCTTGAATCTCGTGCCACACATCCAGTGATAATTCCAGGATCTGGAACCTCAACCTCGCAAATCGGTTCAATGGTGATTAAAATCGTTGTCACGTCAGCAACCGACATAGCCTTCAAGATTCTCAACGGCGAGCAAGGCGTGAATCGTTTCACTATATATGATATTTTGGGGAACGTTACAGTAGTTTTCGAAATCAGTTATACCTCCACACTCTTACGACTTGATTGCCGGAAACTAATTCCGACACTTACGAGTCCTGATTGGATATCATGTCGACATAGGCTTTTTAGACCGCTTTCCAAAATAGTATCCGTAACTTACAGTACCATTGTGAGACATCAGGCTTTGGTCTCTTAATGCGATGATCCCTTTCAATCCATCACCATTGGCATGCACCTTATGAGGACATCGAACTTTCACCAGTTGTGCAAGACCTTATCAATTCACTTGTATCGACCAAAACTCCATCCGAAATATACCGCGAGATTCGACAGATTCCGGAAGGAAAACCAGTGACTAGACATCAAGTCTACTATCTCTGGCAGAAAGCGAACGCGGAAATCTGGCAGCGAGACCTAGACCCCTTCATTTCGGCTACCATGCTTCTTTCTGAAAACAGTCACTGTCGCGATCACCACGATATCTTCACGGCAGGAAACCTGAGGGCATTGGGGTTTTTCGCGTCCGAAACTATCCAGAAGCTTCGCAATACAGCCCCACGTTCCGCTTGCATATTGTCTGATCGAGCTGCTAAAGCCCCCGCAGGCCAATTTAGCCGAGGGAAACCCGTCCGTGCGGATCCTGGGGCGATGACATACATTATTCAACAATTTCTGTAAGGGTTTACTCTCTTGTTTCCAACAGAACAAGCAGGGTAAAATGCCACGTGCATGCGTGCAAGGGGGATGCAAATGCAGCCAGTAAAGCCAAACGTGCCCAACAAAGAGAACATGCCTCTATGGACTTCGACTATTGTATCACTTAAGTCCACGAAAATATAAGGGGTAAAAATAAGAGAAAAAACCATTATTTATTTTGCTATATTGTAGTTTCACTTAGGCTATGTTAACCGTGAGAGATACTAGGATTAAACCCTCTCTTGATCCAAGATGATTAGTTGTATATTCTAGTACCGAGTCCGCATCGCGAAGAATATTATCGCTGAAAATGCGCCCAATAGGAGACACCTTTTCCAGAATTACAGAGTCAGCTGCGCCTCACTAGCGTAGAAGGATCTGCTCGAGATAATGACTGTTGCTACTGTTTCAATACTGTCCAAGAAAGTGAGCTCTATCTGGTGGGGGAAGCCGTTGATATACCCAATATCCTAATCCGGTTATGTTGGCTCCCATTACCAGTCTTGAGATTGAACTTTACAATCTCACTATCCATCTTTCAAATCTCATCGTACTCGACCGTCTCATTTCTAATACTATTCCCGTTTGAATGAAATCCTAGCTCACTAGGTCGAATTATCACAGTATACAATTAGGCAGCTCGATCGTTATCAGGGTGAGGCGGTAACAGCGATAGTTGACCCTTTCTTTCCTGTACCGTCTAGCAGTTCCGTCAACCTCCAGAGCCATATAGGTTCTCTTATATTTATAAAAAAGGTTTACGGTAGTCGGCACATGCCGCAGGCTAGGTGTTGTGCAACTCGCCGCTTTTTGTCCTTGGGTCATTAAATACATCGCACTCAACTGTCCACCTGCTTCTTTCCATTTGGTGTCTTTCCCCCAGATCTAACTCTCCAGCAACGGTTGTAAGGCGTGTGCTCGGAACCTCGGGCTCGGCTTTCCATGCATTGAAGGGAAACCATGTTCTCCAGCAATCGTAACCCCCTTTCCACGGGGAGAACGGATACTTTCTTCTTTAACTTGCAAGGCAGGATTTAATCCTTCGATTTCCGAACCCTATATCGGAATAACCTGATTCGGAAGCGCCTACAGACAATCCGTAGTAACGGGTCTAACGTGCCCGGTATCCCGCGTGTGGCGCCGGGGTAGACGCAAGCGAGGAAATAATTATATATCACCACTTCATATGTCAATAACCATGTCGTTAGACTATTATTTCAGGATACGATGGCATAGATAGCAAAATAGTCCACCAAAGTGATTTTGATAAAAAGAGAAGTTTGGGAAGATGGAGATAATATACTTCCGTTTATCACGTCTAAATTACGGTGGATTATATAGTAATGTTGCAAGGGAAACGTCGAAATTACTTAGAACTAGGATACGTTATTTCTTATGCTAAGAAAGCCTACCCTAGCATTCAAGTGAAAATGGTCGGTTGTTGGGATATGAAGTGAAATTTATCGCATTTACCATGCGTTTTGGTGCAATCGGGTTGACCGTGAGATCGGGTTGGCCATCGACTACGTTGTTACTTTCCTTCACTTAACTTAATGTATAATTCATCGAACAGAGCGGGCACGTATGTTAGGTATGCATATTACACTATGCAACATTTCCTATTTAATCTAATGCTTTAAGGAAGATTCCTCAATCTAAGACAAAGAACACAAAGACGATCAGGATGATTTCTATGTACACTATTTATTCGGGACGAATACGATTGTTTTCCGAACCTTTTAATTGGTTTCTTAACTTAAAGTGTAATAAGCAGCGCCGCACCGGTAGTTGCGCCTAGAACAAGTAGGGTCTTGCCACGTTTTATAATTGTTTAATTAAGTGGGCGCCAAAGACTCGGTAATAATCCCACCATTGCTGAACGGCATGCTAACTTGAGCTAAACTCTTCGTCTTTTTGATCCACTCGCCACGCACGTGCCTACTGTTACAAGAAATTTATCAGTGGGTGATAATTCGCTATAAATCTCGCCAGCCAAGGAGGGAAACAATTCGCTCTATTTGATTCTCAGAGTAACACCAGCACTGCCTGGCCTGACTATTTTATGTATACGTCGGATCTCTAGTCCATTTTCTTATTCCAATTTTGACTTTGATTTTGCGCTAGGCGTCAGGACCAGCTTTTAGAAGCATACCTGCCTTCGCAGGTTCTGCCAAGGTAGGGAATTCTCAGAAAGCGTTCGAGAATATGTTATTAACGGCCCTTTCTGTGCGCAAGCTGTGTGTCCCTCCAGAGAAGGTAGCCAGTGAAGACTAATTCACGGCCTTCTACATACACGAGGATTTCCCCCGCGGACGGTTTTTATCGGGGCTTGCTATTCTAGGAAAGGGGCCTCAGCGGGAGGCCATGCAAGATTAGGACCATGCATATGACGACCTATTCTATAGAGCCCAGAAAAAAGACAGTGTTATCAACACAACTCACGACCACAAGACAGCAGTCCTCCGGTACGTCCTCCGTTCATACTTTTTCTAGGACACTATTCCCGTGGGAGAAAACATCCATAAGGGCCCATGACTAAATGTAGACCACAGTCAAATCGACAACTTTCAATAACGCCGGGGCACTAAACCTTCGGTGGGCTAGGCAATCTGAACACGTCTATAATGGAGTCTCCTCGAATCTTTCCATTCGTTCGACCGTGGAGAAACTCCACAAAACAGAAGAGCAACAAAAGGTGTAGCCTACCTCGGCCACCCGAACTCGGGTGTACTCTCTTCCACAATCATGTTCAAAAAGATATCGGCCTGATGAACTTGACCCGCGGAAGCAATATCTCGGAATCATCAGAGAATGTGAAGGACAAAGAGAACAAGGGCATCAGACCGCAGGAGATGTTGATCAAGATGGAAGATTCCCTAGGACTACACTTAACTAGCGGAGCCAAAGAAAAGTCCATCCAATATCCACCATCTGCAGGACCAGTGGAGAGCGCCAGAATGTCTCCAACAAACCGCCATCAAGGAACGGTATCCTCCATCTCCATACCTAAGCAAACATCACCCGAGCCATCCACACAAACTTGGACTGTTTTCCTCGGGAATCACGACGGACAATCATTGCCGTCGACACAGCCGTCTCTTCTGATGGCGAAGAGTCGGACGTTTGGCCTTTACCTGACAACCAGCCATCTACTGTACCACGCTTTAGCGCAGCCCTACGCCGTTTCTTTCCCGAACTGTCCTTTACCGACTTCGTATCTGTGTCTTCGATAGGAGCTAGTGCTGGTGCCCATCAGCAAAGCGCCGGGCTAATCGGGTTCTCGTCGAATTTTGAGACAGAACTCCGCGAGCGGGTTCAAACCCTCTACAAGACTTCGGCTAATGCTGTTGATATACTAGCCACAGACGTGAATGAAGCTCTGAAGCAAAAGACAGCATCTTCGCTGTCGGGCTCCGGGGATTTATTTGACTGCGCCTCGTCTTTCTATAGTAGCCGGACTTCTATCGCGAGTGTTGAGACAGAATGCTTCAGGCCAGTCACAAAAGAACCTCATCGATGCTCCATTCTCTCACCCGTTGCGGCTGGTGTCTTTGACTATGCTGTTTCGGCGTGTTCTTTGCGAGCTCCGACGTTCGTCCCGCCAGTACCGACTGAATCGGCATCTAGCAAAGGCAACGCGTCAGGCTCTACCTATCCATCGTGCTCAATTTCGCCATCTCGACGCACTTCAATTTTCCCCAAGCTATCGTTTAACGACATCAAGAACAAGCCTCTCCCCCTCGAGCCCGGCGAAGATCCCGGTCCGCTAGCCATCCACCGCAATCACTACGGCCCCCTATCTGCAACAACAGTAGCTTTGCAATCATCCAGATTTCATTCGACCTATCATGACCACGAGCTAAACCACAAGACCACAGGCATGCACCGAAATAAATCTGGGAAAGCATGTCATATATGTGGAGATTGCACTGATCATGATCTCAGTCGATCTTTCTCGGGCGGTCGCATTGAGCAGTCAGAAACCGGCAATGGCCATCGTCTGTAGCAAGTTCCGACATTAGCGCAAGCCGCAGTAGAACTGGAATATGCCCTAGCCAACATTACAAGGGACCCACTTATCCAGCAACGGACTCTACTAGTACTAGAAGGACCGCTGCAGATCAGTCGGCACAGTGGCGAAATAGTCGTGACGCGACCGCGCCAGCGCACCTCTCGATGAATCCACACTCCAAAATTCACCCGCTCAAATCGTTTGAGAGCAAGAGCATCCACAGAACAGTCAAAACAGCTGATGATGTCATGAACAAGCTCGTTATCTTCTTCAATTGGCTTCAAGGCCTCGAGCATGGGTCGGAAGGGCTCTACAGCCAAGGTCTGCTTCTCTATGTCGCGGGTTTGGGTCTGTCTGGCCAGCGTGGTCCTGTCTGTTCATATCTTATTCTTACCAGCAGCGGGGTTGCAATACCGAGAAGCGGGGGCTCCCCAGTTGACGTTGGCTGTGTGTATAGCGGTACTTCTCCTTGTGTATCCGTCGTTTCTGGCGCTTTGCTAGGATTATCCATGGCTGATAGTGGTTCCACAGTCGTGGAGCCAGTGTCCCTTTATACTATGACTTTGCTCACTCCGATGTAAATGAACATGATAAGACCAACGTAGTCCCTCAGCTATTTTGGATTCAACCAGTTTTCAACTTTCACTCCATGTTCCGTCCCTAAAGCTACTTTTTTCCGGTACCACCGCCAAGGCTTTAGTGGGGAGGAATTATTGAGCAAGCCGCATCAAAGTGAGAGTTGCAGTGTTTCTCATCCGATTATGCCGCCATATAGTACAACGAACATTACGATCTGCCGTTCAACAGTCCAAGTATCGAATGTGACCACACGTGGCAGAGTACATGGTTATCCTAAAGCATTTCCCACTTACCACTCTGAGATTCGAATCAACGAAAACAACACAAAGAGGGTAGAGGCCCAAAGCTCATGAATGAGCAGCTCCCCTAGAAATGCACGGCTATCCACTATATAAGAATAAAAGACCCCCAGGCCAAAACAGTTCACGCAACAAAGCTTAATCTGTATGTTTATACGGGTGTCGTCGCAACCCCGACGCTGTGGAACCTCCTCTATCGGTTCAAGACCAGCGAGGTTCTGGATTGGACTTGTTTAGTAAGGATGGTGAGGTGTAGGCATGGCGGAAGTTGATGGGGAAAAGAAAGACTGGATGGTGGCTGCTTTTAATACGAGTGAGAGAGCAGCGGCGGGAAATTCATTAGCCGTGAACTAAGCAATGATTGCATGCATGGTTAAAATAAGACTGCTGGTGGTTTGGCGCACAAGCAGTGCTCCCGCGACGATTCGGTGCCACAGAAGCAATAGTCATTAGAAGGGGCCTGTAGACCTGCCTTCTTTGGCTCGCTCTGCTTCACTTTCCAAGCCAATAAATATTGCTTTCCCCTGGCGTGAATCAAGGTCTGGTCAGGATTGAAATCTTTGTTTATTCCTGGTGGTCTTTTGCTATTTCGTTCTGCATCGAGAGCCGGTATTGTAGCTCTTACGTTTCTAGTTTCTCCAGATGAATTCACTCTGCGTCATGAAATCTGAGCTTCTACATAGGAAAGCTTAAGATACTCGCTGCTCTTCATTAGTTCAACACGATAAGCCCTATCAAGACATTGACATTAACCACTGTATGATAGCCAACTGGACTGATCATTTTATTCCACTTGAGTTGCATGACAACATTTTCCATTTTGACAAGCCTGATTTGGGTGAGCGAGAGGGTTTACACGCTCCGCTTGCGCACCACTAAATACTATCTCTAATCAGCTTGAGCATCTCGGAGTCTTATGCTCTTTGCGGAAACTGTAGGCGAGTTACGTTGACAACGAAGTACAGGACTCTGCCAAGGTCGACAAGCTCAAGCAGAGCCCGCCCCTAAGTACGTATCACCAGCCCCAAGTTTCTCCGTATCTGTGATCTAGAGCAACTGGAATGGAGGATGTATCTAGGGTGAGCAGGGATACAACCATATGAAAAAATCGAATGCCCAGAACCTCTGCTGACAACCACTTTGTTCCTCCAACAGCTCTCAAGGCTGACGACATCTCCAAGAGTTGCGAAGAGAAGGCTCTGCAAGATTACAAGGCCAGACTACTGTGGGCTTTTTATTATCTTTCCGTATCTGTCGTGCGCTGAAAGATGAGAAAGCCACGAGGCCGCGCTTATGTCCCGCGAGAGATCATTCTCCTCACGGCGGAGAATCTCAACCCTCGTGACCAATTATCACTCTTACACGCCATTCCTGACCTCGTACGAGTCCTGACATTCCGCCACACTTCTATTCAGGATGAAAAAGGGAACACAGTCTTACACCTTCTCGCAGAAGAAGCTGAGGGCAGACTGAAAGAGCTGCTACTAGCGAAGAATAGTACTCAAGTGGACCCAAAGAACAAGAATGGTCGAACACCACTATCGTACGCAGCTGGGTGCGGATATGAAGAAGTGGTGAAGCTACTGGTTGAGCGAGATGATGTTAAGGCGGACTCGGGGGATAACGATGGTCGAACCCCACAGTCGCATGCTGCTGAGGGTGGATATAGAGAAGTGGTGAAGCTGCTACTGTGGCGGGATTATGTGGAGGCGGACACGAAAGATAGTTATGGTCTGACGCCGCTGTCACTGGCAGCTAAGTGTGGACATGAAGAAGTGGTGAAGCTACTGGTTGAGCGAAATGATGTTAGGGCGGACTTGAAGGATGAGTACGGCCTGACACCACTACCATTGGCACGGACAGAAGCGGTGCTAGAGCTTCTCAACTCCGTGTCGTAAATAGCCAGCGAAAATTCAAGCAGATATACGAGAGGATGGTCAGGCTCAAGAACAGCACGACATGATACCTGACGTAGCATTGCAAGTGCGAAGCGATGCAGGCTCACGGCTTAATGTGAAGACACAATCTCTCTGAGGATGTTGCTCATTCACTGAGGTTGCTTACTAGTAAATATATATTCGGTGCACAGCAACCTTGTCAGCATTAGCGACACCAGTGAACAGAACAGCAACTTATTCCGCTTTGTATCTTTGCAAAGAGGTGTAAACTAAATTTATAAAATAGTACGCATGAGATAATCAAAACATGAATCAAATATTGAATAGCTCCCAGTGCCTCAGTATAGAAGACCGTAGAATTGACAGTGAGCCAACGTTTCTTAACCGACTCAACTTCACTCATTTTCAACACAAATCCAGCACGTCTCTCGGTGGGCATTTAAAAGGAATCAAGGATTTTGCTGCAAAAAGTTGCCGTAGAACGAAGGCATGGGTTGCAACACACCTCACTTAGCATAGGCATCGTGCCCTTCAACGTTTGCTACTTAGCAGAGCACGTACGCGACAGGAGCCAAGAAATCTATAAATACGTCTTCCCCTCCAGCAATTTGTTCTACAATTCTATCACTTGGCTACGCAAAGTCGAGCAGGCCTTGCGTTTGAGGTGCCTGATAAGTTCTTCCATTAATCCCTACCGGAATTTCCACTGTACTGACATCTATGGATACATCGTGGGCCTACAAGCTAGAAAGTGCTTGTGAAGTGATCCCCACCAGGTCCATTATGTCATCCAAGCCAGCCGGTCAAAGAAGCAGATTCATGTTAGATGGTCGATGTATCTATGCGAACATCTGTCCACCATAGCAGCCGACCCCCGTCACGGCCCTGAATATCGACGTAAGAAAGTGATCTCCATACAGGTATGTAGATTTCGGCGCGGCCATTTTCGAAACTGGACTGACTTCAAAGACGATGCGAAAGAAAGATCCATGCGTTCCGTCCAATATACCCCAGCCAGGGAGCCCTTTCCTGTGTCTTTCTTAAAACATGTAAGTCACTCATTGTCTCGCCGATCGACAAGCTAATGATGGGCAGGAAACCGTTGACAGCGCACCAAAGTGAGCTGGACCCAGCACTGTCAGTGCTCCGCGCAAAGTCACGGCTTACAGGCCATTTCTTACCCTATCATTTCAAACCATGCAACATGTCCTCTGTGAAGACTGCAAAGCAAGGTCGCGGACCAACAACAGGACACATAAGCTCTAACGTTCGTTCTCTGCGATGAGGTGGGTGGAATATCGCCCCTCCTGCTGTGCCGGTTTTGATTTTCTGCTAAGTCTGTGCCACAGACACGAACCCCACTGACACTTCCATACCGTTGTAGGAGCAGCCCATCGCCAACCGCGAAAATCTTATGGCGAATAAACTATTCGCGCCGAATCAGATACGACCAAAGGGCAGACGCGCCATTGCGTCTTACGCCCTCCTCACTGCCTCACACCGTCGACAACGGAGTGCCTCTACACGAAGCAGTCTCCCAATACGACTGTACAATTTTTTGTCACAGGTGGGTTCGTCGCGCGCTAGTGCCATCTTATGAACTTGCCCGGTGCATCCAGTGCGGCTTCTCGAAGCGACAGCCGGAGAGTGCGACGAACTGGACACAACATGGCATATTGGTGACTGCATTGCAGAAGACAATTGGAAGTGATCTAGTTGGTAAGCTGGTAGGATGACGATCTTAATTGACCAACTGTCTCAAGCGTATGCTCGGGGGATTCTTCATCAACAACGTAAAGTACAACACCTCGTCAAACTGGATCAACACTTGCTGACTCGGATCTCACCACAGGAAGACACTCTCAGATTCTCACACTCGTATGCGAAGCGAGCTAATGTCTGGGCTGCTCAACCTCCCCTGCATCAACACCATCGCATGCTCTGTTTCTTCCACATGAATACCGATGGTATCGATGATCGCGAGCTCGACCTTCTCGCAGTGGATTTTGTTCATCAGATCATGCGCTGGTATGCCTACCTGATGGAAGACCCAATGGAGCGTATAGCAGTGTCTGCCTCTCGGCATTCGAACAACCTCATAGGATAGCTTGCTTGCGGCTCGGATCCCCGGCGTCCAGTGGGTGACCATCGCTGTCCTCAGATGGCGTCTGCGTCTCTCGAGCCCGAGGAGCCGATGTTTCGCCTTGCTTGAGCCGTA